GTGGGGGGTTATGAAAACTAAACCACCAGCATACAAAGAAGATGCCACTGCAAGCAGTGTTCTTCATTTAACACTTTTAAGACTGCAATGAAAGCAAGCAAAGAAAAATGAAATATATTTACCTGTGTGCACATATATGTATCATTCTCTATTAATTTTTTACCTCAAAGGATCTTGTATTAAAGCAGCTCATCATTAACGGTTGAACACAAAGAAAGAGTGGTCATTAAGTAAACATCCTTTCTGATCATCTAGAAGGAAAAAAAAAAAAAAATCAGAGCTTTCCCATAAAGGTCATTTTTACCTGCTGTTGTCTATTAGGTTCTCTGGTCATTTCCAGCATTTTTGATTGCAGTGCTGGCCCTTTCAGCACTTTTCAGCCATGCCTGGAAAAATACTGGTGAAAGTGTTAGCAATTAATGAGTCCCAAAACAAATTTCATAATTTTAAGCAATGCTTATATAAAGGATGTAAACATTCTGAAAAGTACATTATTTTACTTGCTAAAATAATGATTGTACAATTTTACATAGACTAATGCATCAGAATGTTCATTATTGTGACCAAATACCAAAGTTACTAATCTGTACATGTATGCCTTCAAAAACTTGACTCTTCTAAACTATAGCTTCTATCTTTATTCCTGTAAAGCATAACTCCACTAATTATGCTAAACAGTTTGTTACAAAGGGTATAATTAGATACAAGATAGGATAGACATGATGTGCAAATAGCTCTATGTGGGTGATTATCACCTTAAAGCCTGCTGGTGGCAGATGAGTCAGAGTTTAGAGACAGACCGTGCACCCAAGTGCAAGATGCAATCACGATAATCAAATGGTATTTTCTGCTTTGTTCCCTATGGTTTTGTTCTTCTTTATAGCCATTTTCAATTTAAGAGATTTTTTTTTTTAATGATAACAAATGCAAGAAACAAAAGAAAGAAAAAGAAAAGAAAAGAAAAAAGACTGAATGGGCACTCTTTTATTTTATTGATTTCTTAACCTTGAAAGATCTAGCAGGTATTTTTCTGGAACCAAAATAGTGTCAGGACGAGTGTAGCTTTACTTGTTTTATATATTTGTTACGAAATTTTAATGTGGTAAATATATATCTTAAAAGGTTGCAAGAGCAAATAACTAGCAGGTTTTTTTCTTTTTTATAACACCACGTAGTATTTTGGACCTGATTTTGCCCCCTTGCGGTAGAGAAGTTCTCTCATTAAATTTATAGTCATGGGATCAAAGTCATTGCAATGTTAAGCTCTGGACTAGAGTATATACACAACACCTACATACATCAGTAGGATATAAACAAGCATAATTAGGTTGTACATTACTTTTCTATCATTATTTGAGGTCAAGTTTTAGCAAGAGAGAGAGCTGTACTGGTGAGAGACCATTAAGATGCTCATGTCCTTAGAATATTTAAATATTGTCTCCATACTATATATTATTTTGGACATACTAGAAAAATGTTCTTATTTCAATTCAATTTTATCCAAATCTGACTTTTTAAGAAATAATACTATTAATCAGGCTCCTAGTCTAAGGCAATCACCTTATCTAAGTAACTGATTATAATATCAACCTAATAACAGTATTTGTTTTCCCTCCTTTAATACTTGGAAGCACTAGAATTTTTCACTTTAACAATTAGATTTTCCACTATATTAAAACATTACTGGGCTGAAAAAAACCATATCAATAGCCTATATGGCATAATGCACTCATCTGAACACTGGATCTGAAAGAAATTTATCATTCCAAATAAAAGATATTGTGAGTAGTTTATTTACCTGGTAGGATTCATAACAAAGCCAGTGTTCTTCTGCATAACTAGGACTTCACCCTTGAAGTTCGGGAAGCAGAGCATCTGTGCTGACCTCAGCGCTGAGCAGCATCTCTTTGCAGCGTGATTTCTAGTGCAGGGTCAAAAACTACCAAGAGCACTGACAGGTTCTTGGGGTGCGATTCCGGGGAGCCTTTGTTTCAGTTTTTGTTTTGCCAGATCCACCAATTTTAACAGATAAGAAGAGCCATTCTCACCAGCCTAGTAGACATGGCCACTTACAACCTAGTATTGTTTCTCATTCTTCATCCTAGTTTATCTTCATCATCTTGGGTTAGTTAAAAAGAGTGTATCAGTCAAATTGTCTTTTCAGTGCTTTTTTTTATTTGCAGTGTAATATACATGAAAGTACTTAGTTCACAGTTATCTTTGTTTTAGCCATTAATAAACAATCAAGTGATAGGACACTATAGAAAATAAGATACCAACATTTCATGGTACCCATGCAAAACACATTGCAGTTGCGATATGCAAGTTTAGCTACAGTTACTAAGGGAAATTTATAGAGAGCAGACATGATCCATAAAGATATTTAAAAATCTAATTATCTATAAAGCTTGGGGAGAAATTGCTAGGAAAAAATTATTTTACCCGCTCCTCTTTTTCCTTCTGTCCCTTAGAAATGTAATCGGTTTATTTCCTAGAGTATAAGGGAAGAATGAGGTTTCCAAATCAGCATCTGATTTTTTAAAACAGATCTTGATTTACTGTTCTTCATCAGCTGTGAACGACTCTACAGTAATCCTCGTCGACCAGCCAATTTCAGCATCTTTGTAGAAAAAAGCAGAATCAACCAAAATAAAAAGGAACAACCCCCACAAACTATCAACAGAATAATTTACTTTTTTCTCATGAGAAAGTATCTAAATATTTCCTTCCAAAAATACTTGAATTCATTGT